TATCCATTAATATCATTTAATTGAATAAATAATTAATCATATATATAAGTTTCACTAAATATCATGATAATAAGGCAACCTACAGAGATAATCAATCATCCTCCAATTCTTATATATAACCATTAAACATGTCTATATGAAACTAATTATAAAATATTTCTTATTTTTACAAATATAGATATGGCTGATAGATCTAGGCGGCGATGTGGTGGGCGTCGTACCACCCATGAGGAGTGCGAGGAGGAGACAATTCGAGAACTGATCATAGCATCTCTAAGAGGACTGCATAGGGCTCATGATCTTGATCAGGTTACAACTAACCTCAAGTATAAATAAGTTTATTCTCAAGTGCATAGATAATTATCTTTTTTTTCTAATGGTTATTTTGTTTTCTTTCCAACAGGCGTCTCCATTGGTTGCTTTAACACATTTACAAACGGCACGTGAGTGGCCAGTGGAGTGCCCCCTCATGATTTATATTTTAAGAAACCTTGGGCTATATAACATTCGTCATCTTCAGTTTATACGTCTTGATCATAACCTAATAATAACACTTGTAGAGAGATGATGTCCACTAACGAACACCTTTTATTTCATGGTCGAAGAGATGACAATAAGGCTCCAAGATGTGCAGGTTATACTTGGACTGAGAATTGATGGGCCAGCCGTCGTGGGCCCAAATATGGTGGGTGTAGGTCGTCGTTGGGAATCCACTGGCTAGCATGTTATGATGATCTCCTTAGTACACATCAAGACAGGGATATTATGTATCATGCACTAGGTGATGAAGATGACACGGCCACATTCACGATGGATAGTGCGTAGTTAGAGTCAATGCTCCCATTACGTTGGCTCCGATGGATATTCTATAGGGATTCATAAAAAGAGTTAGCTCCCGATCCTTTTCTTCATCATGTTCGGGACTATATCCTCTTCATAATTCGGTGCTTTTTGATACCAGACACGTTGCAATCACATGCGTCATTATAGTGGTTGCCCTTATTTATGGACGTGGAATTATTTGGACGAATGTCTATTGGCAGTGCTGTACTTGACATATATACAGAGAGCTGTGTAATACAACTAGAACCACACGTACTTAAATTGCTGGATATGTAGTATTACTATAAGTTTGGTCATGGGAGCGATTGTACATTGGGAGACCCACACTACGTGTACTACGAATACACGATTTCGGTGGCAGACCTCATGGGAGTAGGTATTAATGTTTAATTACTATAAAAAAATACACTCATATGAAATTTCATAATATTATTTTATGTTATCTACAGGTGGGCCGAATATCGGATATGTAAGCTCCCATCCAAAAACACGATGACATATCATGTTGATTTGGACAGTTTAAGACTTAGTCAAGTAATACAAAATTCTTATCTTCTCCCCTCATACATTTATTAAATATCAAGAATCACTAATAATCTTTAACTTCATTGATACTAGGTGAGCATGACTACATACACAGATGAGATTCTTGCAGCTCTGCTTAGCCAATATTTGGAGGGGAGGGACATTTGGCATGTGCCCCTCATTAGCTGGAAGCGTACCGAGTGGCATCTACTTGATCGTGTTATGAAATATTTTGGGGGAGTACAATTCACTAATGTTCCTTCGATGGAACCAAATTTTAAAAAGAATTAATGGAAGAGGTGGAGCAGATTTAGATTGGACTATTCAATATCAGAAATACCTTGAGCTATGGGAAGAAAGGAGAGGGTATGTTGTCGTAATAACTCCACCAGAAGGTACATGTAATCGGGAGTTAAGCACATACCTATGGTGGTATAGTAATGGGCGTTGATTTATCTATTACAACCACAAACAGAGCCACCAGAAACTTTCTTTCCTCGATCTTCAGGAGAACGATTGATGGTATGTGACATTATTTATTAACTTTTTTTACATGTTTAATAAAATTGAATTTGATAAACATATCACATCTTATAGACTGACCACTACATACATTCAACTGCTATTCTAGACCCATTGGCGACGAGGGAGGGCAACGAAAAAATGCAAGTTTATTACAATTAACAGTTGACCAGGTAACGAAGCTCTCAGCTAGAGTGTAGCATTCAGTTTATATCGACTACATTACTTTTGACACCACAATAGATGAGAGGAGTCAAATTAGAGCCGAAGGAACAAATTCTCATAGAGCTCAAGGAGCAAGATGGTCAACCTCAGACGCTCCATCTAGATCCATGAGAAGTCGTTGCCGCCAAATTACTGAGAGGGAACCACCTAGACTTTCAATGCTTACTCTGTCGACTAGCTATGATATGATTGGGGCAGGGCCATCCACACAACATTAGAGCCCATTTCGTGAACAGGAAAGTGATTCACATGAAATATATTATGGTACACCATCTCAACATCCCATAACACATTCATTTTTTCCCATTGCTATTCCAAAGTGGATGTCAAGTGTTGGATTATCGACCTCCCCTCGTAGTAAAATATATTATTAATGGGAGGACAACCATCACAACAATACATTGATGCAACGCAACATCAATCAGAATTTCTAGAACAAGAAGAGAAATTTATTGAGGAAGATCAACAGCTACAATGACAAAGAAGAAGAGCCCCAAATAAATATACTCTCGGTAGTAGGGCTCTTCTGCATCATCGATAAATGACCTATGATAATGTATTCTCTTATTTATACTCATCATTTCATGTGTATGTGAATGTTTATTGAATAGTTGTTTTTAAATATGTAAAATATTTTAATGATTATTTATGCTGCACTCAATTTCAATACTAACATGAGCTTAGATTATATATAATTTACATAATATTATAACTAATACCAATTTAAAATAATATAACATTTACTTTAAAATTTCTGTTATATTTCAGATATCACGTCAACTAATTAATAAAAATTATAACAATTTCTAACATAATGATAAAAGCTTAATAATAAAATACTATATTAATTATTATATTACTATCTTACTTGAACTATAACTTAATATCCAATATGTATTAGTATATCTTATTTTTATTTATAAGATCAACAATTTTTTTAGTCATTTCACATCATCTTTTTTTCCATGCTACATAGGAATACACTTGTTAAGGAAGAAAAACTACATTACTACAAAATGTACTATTCTATCATGAAAATAATAAGAGGAGCACCGACGCAGTAACTAATTGAAGAAGGAAGTAGTCGTATACATAAAAGTTTGGCTTACAGTACATACAAGATCCTAGAAGCAAAGGCAACTACAAATGAAATTTTTAGATGTGTTATGCAAACTTAGGGGGAAGACGAAGATATCATCATATGGAATGAAAATGATGATGTTATGAAATTAAGGCAATATAGATCTGATTTTAAACTTCGAGATGTTGGTTGGAAATTGTTAAATGATAGATTTTGTAACATGGGAAGCCACCTCGTATCATTAAATTTTCTAAAGTGACGTATTCGATAACTTGGTCGTGACAAAGAAGGTATAGTTGAGCCGAATGTCGATGCTTGATATAAATCACTGTATTCTATACCATTATTAGTGCCCTAAAGAAGATAAAAGACTTTTAGATAACTATAAAATGCTAATGCAATGTTCTCAAGATGGAAATGGAAAAAAAAAATTTTAGATGACGAAGATTGGAACCAGGTTCAACACGGATTTATGTTCCACTGCAAATGTTATCCAACACAAACACAACTTCAAGCTCGTGTACGACATGTACTTAGAATATAACAATGTTGTGTATTGATATATATGATAAGAGTATTATTTGTATATATGATTATGCTGCTAATTATCCTAAAAACTTCTAAATCGGCCTTATCACATTTCAATAAAGCAAGTTTCAGTGAATTTTTAATTTAAATACAATCTACTAAATTAAATATTTCTATTATTTAATAATTTTAAAATCTAATTTTTAAAATTATTTACATTTCTTTATCATTACTAATACTACGATATCTTCTTCAATTATTTAATTTACTCTTTTTATTTAGTTTATGGAAAATAAGGTATTTCATAAATGGTCTTTTTATTTTTTCCAAAAACAAATTATTTAAAATTTAATTATAAATAAAATAATTTATAATATATTCTTTCTTTCAACCTATATTATTCTTCCATTTAAAATTTTTAATTTAATTATATCTAATTTACCTTTATATATTATATTATAATTCAACTTATATTTCATGAAATATTTCAATTAAGTTATAAATACCTATATTTTAAATTTTTTTCTCCGATTATTAATTCATTCATTCAAAATAATTTAAACAAATAACTAATATAAAAAGTTTAACTATTAAGATGATAACATTTTCATAAATTAATTATTAAAAAAAGTATGATAATGCGCGAAAATTATCATACAAAAAAAAATCATTGCTCATGAAAATACAAATATAAAAAATTATTGAAAATTCGATTTTTTATATTAATAATTATTAATAATAACTACGGTAAGCTAATATATTTAAAAAAAAAAATTAAAAGACAATACCCAATAAAGAAACCCAACAATAAAATGTTTTCATTTCACAAACAAAAAATTATCATTGGCATATCATAACTTCAAACATAATGCCCAGAGAGATTGAATCACATAAATATTAACTGTCGCAGATTAATTTTATATGTGCAAGTCTTAAAAAAACCTAAACCCTCGATTGCCCGTCCAACGATATGCTCACTGGAATCTTTGTCCAAATCATTTAGATGTGGAGCTGAATACGAGGAAAATCATGTGCGTTACAATGATTTTAAGTAATGTGCCGAATCATTCAGCGTATTCCATAGAATGCACCGAAAGATTCAGCACAATTCACACAGGAGGACACGAAAATGAAGAATACGCTTATTTGATTGGCACGTTCAAAGAATGCGCCGAACAGATCAGCGCATTCTTTGAATGCGCCAAACCAAGCAATGCATTTACTCATTTATAATTTTTTTTAAAAAGCCTGCTTATTCCTTTAAATGTCACTTAAAGGATGCTCCTTTCCGGTTCTGAGTTCTGTTCTCTCAATGCTCCGTGCCGACCTAGATCGGCCATAGATGACTATGGCAGAGAATTCCTCCTGCGAGTTCCCCACCATTGACCCCAACTTTTTCGACCTCATCGTGTACGGCAGTGGCCTCCCAGAATCCATCCTCGCTGCCGCCGCTTCTGCTGCCGGCAAAGCTGTCCTCCACATCGATACCAACCCTTTTTACGGTTCGCACTTCGCCTCCCTCCCCCTGGCCTCATTTTCCTCCTTCCTCCAATCCACACCTCTCATATTTCCTGAGCGTTCCGCTGATGGGTCCGCTTCCTCCTCCACTTTCCACTCCATCGAATTGGAAACTCGTTGCGTGTACTCGGAAGTTGAGATCGCAGAATCGCCGATGCCTGAGCATTCAGAAAGATTCATCGTTGATTTATCCGGGCCTAGGGTATTCTACTGTGCGGACATGGCGGTTGATCTGATGGTGCGATCGGGTGCCAGCCATCATGTAGAGTTTAAGAGTGTCGAAGGGAGCTTGATCTATTGGGACGGGCGACTATGCGCGGTGCCGGACTCGAGGCAGGCCATCTTCCGCGATCAGAATCTTTCCCGAGCGGAGAAGGGCCAGATGATGAGGTTTTTAAAGCTGGTGCAGGCCCACATTGCGTCGGAGTCCGAAGCGACTCTGTCGTGTGAGGGAGCTTTAGGGATATCGCCGGAGGACTTGAAGATACCGTTTTATAATTTCCTCCTTAAGCAGAAGCTTCCCCCCAAGATAAGAACGATTATTTTGTACTCTATTGCATTGGCTACTTTTGATCAAGATGATGGAGTTGATTGTCGATATACAATCAAGACAAAGGAGGGAATTGAGAGGATTGCCCTTTATATTTCATCAGTTGGGAGGTTGCCCAATTCGGTTGGGGCATTTATCTATCCCATTTATGGCCATGGGGAATTGCCTCAAGCATTTTGTCGATGTGCTGCTGTGAAAGGGGCTCTATATATCTTGCGTATGCCAGTGATATCTCTTCTCATAGACAAGGTAAGCAATCAATATAAAGGTGTTAAATTAGCTTCTGGTCAGGAGATATTTAGCCATCAACTTGTTATGGAACCATCGTTTACAGTTTCGTCATCAGCTCTATCTTTATTGGATTACAAAGTTTTGGATGGTTCAAACCTTGCTACTATGGTTGCTAAAGGAGTGATCATAGCAAACAAGGCCATCCAGCAAGATTCATCTAACATTCTCGTGCACTTCCCCCCTAGATCTTTGTTCTTTCAGCAGTCAACAACTGTACGAGCTCTTCAAGTGTGTAGCAGTGTGGCAGTATGTCCTACTGGAATGTTTCTAGTTTATCTTTCAACTCCCTGTGATGATGCTAGTCTGGGAAAAGAGTGTATACGTGCTGCCATGAGAACACTTTTCACTGTACCTGACGCCGATAGTTTTGATGGAATTTCCTCAAATAATGAAAACACTGGAGCATCCAAGCCAACAGTTTTATGGAGTGCCATTTACATTCAAGAGCTAACACATGCGGCCACATTGGGTGCTATATATTCCACTCCTATGCCTGATGAAAATCTTGATTACTGGAATTCATTGGAATCAACAATAAAGTTATTTTCCTCTATGTATCCTGAGGTGGAGTTTCTTCCCAAAACCAAAGTTCCTGAGAACGTTGATGAGGATGATTCGTTGTCATAGTGATGAATGTGGACTATATCTGTGAAGGGCCATGAGCATTCACACTTTTCAACATAAGAACGTGAGAGAGTCCACGCTGATTTTGAGATAATGCTCTTAATTGATTGACAAGTTGTGCTGCCTTGTGCCTGAGCAAAATTTTCTTTCTTCCAATGATATTTCTGGTCTTGCACTTGGTGGCTTTAAATGTTGGTCTGAACTCCATGAAAGTCCGTCATTACCATGCATTATTATGTGTGATCGTCAGGTATTCCTTCTCAAGTACAAAGTGTTGTTCATAAGTGCAGGCTTATATATATTATTTGTGCTTTAGCTTTTTAACACGGAACTTGATTGAAACCTTTAGCTCGATCTTGTCTTAATTATTTTTATAAATTTTATTCTAAAAAAAAAAATTGAGATAACACATCAGCAGGTCACACCCACAAATCTAAATTTTAATATTCCACCAATATATGTGGGTACTTAATTTAATGTAGTTATTCATAAAATATTGTACTAAACAAGATAGGACTAGCAAATAATAGAAATTAAAAAAGCTTTGCACAAAAATAAATAAATAAGTAGTTTATATATATATATATATATATATATATATATCAAAATAAAAAGTAGTACATGTTGTAAATCAGGAATCAAGATTGAGATTAAGATTTTTTATGATAATAAAATATTTTTATTCTGATTTTATTGTTTCTACTAGCATATAATGGATATTTCTATTTCTTTCTGTGTACTAAAATTTCAGAGAAATTATATACTATTCCGAATTGTTGAAGACTTCAAGATAATGTAGAGTAGGATTTCATATAATAGAGTATGTATATCTTTATTTTTATTTCTTAAGTTTGACCAAGTGTGATTGTAATTGGGTAACTGTGCACACACATACAGGGGAGAGAGAGTGATAAATTGTTTTTTAAGACTAATCATATTGTATGATATCTAATCATACTATACGATTTGACATATATTTCGTCCAGAATGTAGTTAATCAAATCATGGCTTGAATTTTTTTTATAGTTCATACTGTACGATGTTAAGTCTTACAAATGACTGAAGAGTACAAAATTATGTTTGTATAAGATTGTATCGAATGAACACATTAATTTTTTGAACTATTCGTACAGTACAATCTACCTTCTTACACACAAGTCACAGAGTATGAAATTAGGTTTGTACCAAATCTTATCGAATGAACACATTTATTTTTGAACTATTCGTACAGTACGATCTACCTTCTTACAGATGACTAACATAGTGTAAAACTAAGTTCATCCCAAATAGTATTAAATGAACACATTTATTTTTTGAATTGTTTGTATAGTATGATCCTCATTAGTACTGACAACTAACAGTGTATAAAATTAAGTTCATCTAAGTTCATACCAAATGAAGCCCTAATGTTTTAAACTGTTCATACCGAATGATCCATGATCATATAGTACGAATGTAGGATGGTTCTCAAATTTTAATTTTTGAACCGTTTTTTATGTGTTTGTTATATAAAGAGGGCTCTAAACCTATCTCAATTATCCTTTGCTTCAAATTTCTCTTGAGAGGGACCATTGAGAGTGTGTTTGGGAGAAATTTTGTGAGTGAAGAATGAGAGATCTAGTGAATAGAAATTGTGAGAGATTCACAAGTTTGCCCAAAGTGAGGATCTCTTTATTTTCTTCAAGTTTCTACCCAACTTCTTTAGAGGCCCCTGAGAAAAGATCTTCAAGATTGGATCAAGGTTATCTGCCTTCACCAATAGGGTGAAAAAGAATGTAAAGGTACACTGCTATCACTTGGAGAGTGTAAATGACAACGGTTCTCTGTCACATCGGGTTGGTGGAAGAGAGTTTATAAGGGCTTCTATGCCTTGCTGTAGCGGCAAAAGGAGAGTCACTATTATTTAGTGAAATACTTGGAAAATGATTCTCTAGGGAGGGATGTAGGTCAAGTTGGATCGAACTACTATAAAATTTGGTGTTCTTCTATTATCTTTAATTTTTCCCGCATTTTTATTTTTCTGCATTTAAAATTTTGTGGTTGAAAATTCTTTGTGATAATTATTTTTATAAACAATTGCATGTTTCAGGATTAGTGATTTAATTTTCTAAAAATATATAAAAAGTTTTTCAAAAATGTAAGAAATTTTTTTTTATAACTAGTGCACCCCCCCACCCCCTGGTTAGCTTGGGGACAGTTCTATAAGGTCTAATAACCTATAAAAACTTTTAAGTGGTATCAGAGCCAATTTCTAAAATTAAGGTTTATACTACTTTTTAAAAAATGATCATGACTAATTTTAAATCTTATGGTTACTTTTCTACAATCACTTGACTATCGCATTTGAATATTAGTACAGGAAGTTTATACTAGACCTACTAGAATTATTAGTGGCATCAAAATAGAAATGTCATTTACTAAATGGACTTTAGAAGAAAGAGAATTAGCATAGTTAAATTAAAAATATTTAAATAGTTTTTTTGTGCTTTGAAATTTGAGAATTATATATGTATTTCTACTTGTAATACTGGAAAAGAAATTTAGGAAAGATTTTGCATAACTTATGAAGGAACAAATGAGATAAAATAATCTAGGTTGAACATTTTATTACATGGCTATGAACTATTTTGCTTGAAATTAAATGAGTTAATTTTTTATATGTATATAAGATTTATTCAGATTATTACCTCATTACAAGCTTTAGGTAGATAACTTACAAATTTAGAAAAAGTTAATAAAATTTTACATTGTTTACCTACTGTTTATGATGCAAAGATAATTGTCATAATTGAGTCTAAAGACCTGAATGTATATTTTATTGACAATCTACTTTGATCACTTATTGCTTACAAGCAAAGAGAGAATCAAAGATAGATCGATGCAGGTGACAAAAGGAATGAGAGAAATATAGCTTTGAAAGTTGATGATTTAGAGAGTGATCAATCAATATTAGAGGATGAAGAATACATTGCACTTATAACTAAGTAATTCAAAAGTTTCTTAAAACAAAGCAAAGATAATACCAGCATTGGAAAAAGGTAAGTTGAATAAAAATCTAAAAGTTTCTAATAAAGTCATTTGTTATGAATGTAGAAAATTGAGACATATAAAAAGTGAATGCACAAATCTCAAAGCTAATCCTAACAAGGAGAAATTTAAGGAGAAAACTAATGTTAGAAAGAGCAAGAAAAGAATGCAGAGCTTTTTAGGTTGTCTCAGATTCAGACTCTTTAGAAATATAACCAGAATAGGATGTTACAAATTTGTGCTTAGTGGCAGATAAACTTGATTATTAAGATCAAGAGAAGGTATGTGACTTATCTTACGATAAATTATTTAATATTTCTAAGAAAATTTATAATGTATATAGGAAAATTAAAAATTGCATGTTAATCTTAGTATTGAGTATTTGAATTTACAAAAAGAGCATAAAAATCTTAAGAATGATCATGCAACCATAGTTAGCAATCACATGGTTTTGTTAGATGAATTTGATAATTTGAATAAGAAGCATGAATTATTGAAAAATCTTATGTTGAGCTTGAAAATGATTTTAAAGAATTTATGGGTGGCAAACTCATATCTTCAAATAAAATTAAAAGCTAAGGAAAATAAGTTAGCTCCCACACTTGAACAATTTTACAATTCTAACCAAAATCATACAAGTTCAAAACCTATGAAAAGATATTATAACTCATATAGATTAGTAATTTATTTTTCTAGTGTTAAATGCTTTTCATGTGGAATGTTGGGGTATATTTCTCACACTTACACTATTCATAGTAGAACACATTTAGTGTAGAGACCTAAGATACATCAATCACAGTATATAAGATATGCATCTAGATTATCATTGTCAAGAGGTGAACCTAAATTTATCTGGGTTCATAAGTCTAATATTTGATAATTTTGCATAAATGCTCTCATATAAACTCTCGTGAGAGCATTTGGTACCTGGACATTAGATTTTCAAAACATATGACTTGAGATGCAAATCAATTTATATTACTGGAGGCAAAGTGACACTTGGAGATAACACCACTAGGAAAGTGGTAGGTTCAGGTATGATTGCTAACACGAAGAATTTTCTTATTGAAAATATTTTATTGATAGAATGCTTAAAACATAATTTGTTAAGTATTAGTCTTGTGATAAGGATTTTAACATAAAAATTTTACCTACAAGCTACATTATAAGCTAAAATGGAGTTGTTGTATTACATGGAGATAAGGTAAATAAAGTTTACATACTTGATTTAAATTTAATGAAATCTTCTAATTCTTTTTGTCTAAAAGCTATTGCTGATGAATCTTGGTTATAACATGGGAGGGGGCACAGCGTCACATCTCCGGAGTGAAGCGAAAAACTCTGGTCTTATCTCAGTCTTGAAGTTGAAGCGAGACTGCTCAAAAGAGTCTATATTATAAGCAAGTAAGCTCACAGCTTGCAAGGGCCATGGCTCGATATTCAGCTTTGGCACTCGATTGGTGGACTCCTTCCTTATCTTATGAAAAGACTTTGTCATGTAAGTATTAAAAATCTTAGGAATATTACCCAAAAGGAATTGGTTAGAGGCATGCCCGAATTAGACTTCACTAAGGATCACTTGTGTGATGGATGACAATTAGGGAAATAATTCATGTCCTCCTTTCATTCAATTAAAGATCTTTGAACTAGCAAATCCCTAGAAGTCCTTCACATGTATCTCTTTGGACCTATTAGCACTATAAGTCTAAGAGAAAAAGTTTTTGGGTATGTGATTGTTAATGATTATTCAAGGTTCACTTGGATTAGATTCTTATCACATAAGAGTGAATCATTTGATGATTTTAGAAATTTTTCTCCTTAGATTCAGAGGAAGTTAGGTTATGAAATTCTTGCAATTCATAGTGATCATGGTGGACAATTTGAAAATAAAAAATTTGAAATTTTATGTAAATAACAAGGGATAGATCACAATTTTTTAGCTCAGGTCCCCTCAATTAAATGGGGTTATTAAAAGAAAAAATTTTAATTTTGGTAGAAGCTGCTAGAGTCATATTAGCTGAATATTCTCTTCCTGAATATTTTTGAGCTAAAGTGGTTAATATAGTATGTTATGTTCTGAATATGATGAATATTAGATCAAAGTTGAATAAGAAATCCTATAAAATTCTTAAGGGTAGGACACCCAATTGTCACATCTACATGTTTTTGGATGTAAAGTGTTCATTCATAATAATGACAAAACTCTTTTAGGAAAATTTGATTCAAAATTTGATGAGAGAATTTTTGTAGGATATTTAAGTGTTGAAAAATCCTATAAAGTTTTAAACAAAAGGAAAATTTGATTAAAAATGGGAGATTATTGTA